CTACCCTACACATTATGCTATTTATTTCATCCTTAGGACTTCTGGTTCCCCAAATGCCCCATCTCAGTCACATGTTGTGCTGTCTTGCTTGGGTGTTTATACTATTTGTTCTGGAAATATCTATTCTTCCTTCTTCCTTACTTGTCTAATGCCTATTCATGCTATAAACCGCTGTGGAGAGCATCTGCTCCACATGTATTACATGCCCCTTCAGGTCAAGTGAGCTGTACCTACATTGTCTTCTTCAGCACCTTGCGCTTTTCTATTTCGTAGTGGTCTTGTTTGCTTGCTTATCTTCCCCACCCAACTGGGAATGCTTTGAGGCACAGATTGTGTTTTCGTCTCTATATATTCCAAGTTTAGCATGGTACCTGGCACATAATAGGTTCTAAATATATTTATATATGAAAACTTTTTACAGGCTTGCAGAGAAAGGAGGCTAAAATGAAAGTCTTTGAGGACAGTGAGAGATAATCACCAATTACATATATTACTTAATCAAAATTATCATGCTCCGTAACTAAAGAGGGAACACAAATCCTTCATGGTTCAGAATTTCCCATCCAGTATCAAATGTCTTATCCAGAGCAAGCTATTTGAGATTCTCTCTTGTTTCCATCTGTATTAATTTGCCAAGTGAAGTGAGCTGGTTTTCTATGCTCACATGCCTGCCCTCATTTGATTATCAGTAAGCATGAACAGAAACAATTCTCAATGTATGAAGGTATTAGTAAACAAGAATTTGAAATAAATATACAGTCCACAAATGAGAACCTGCTATTTATATTGCTGATTTTGAGGAAAGGGACACCAGATTCTACTTCAAAGAAGAAATCAATAACTTTATATCTAATTCACGTTAAACTAGAATTATATAGAATAAGATTTCTAATTTCAAGAAAGTTATCATAAGATTAAAAGGACATAGCAAAACAAACCATCCTTGGTCACTTTCTCAAAAGTCTTTGAGAAGTCTCCTCAAAGGATCTTGAATTCTAGAATGGATAGCAGGAGTTTCTTGGCTCTTAAACTATATAAACAGCTGTGATCCTAACTCAGTGAATGCAACTTAAGAGAGGATCACTGAACTGCCTCTCCTTCCTGTCAAAATCCCTTAGGACTTTGCTTCTTTCTTACAGTAATAACAGATTTCAAAGATATTATAAATATTCCTGTATTTGTCTTAACTCCTCTTCCTGAATTGAAAATCCCTCAAGGGCATGAACTGTGCTATTTTAATTGTTTATTTCTAAAGGACAAACAGGTTGCTTTGCAAATAGTAGGCATTTAAATATTTTTTTGCTCATTGAATTGCATATAATGGTTAACTCTAATGATTTATTGTTAATTAAAAATGGCACATGTGTTTATTAGTAAGAAGGGTTGGACATCAAGCCTTTGGTCAAAACATCTCTTTTTATTATTTCCATAATTATTTCACTCCAGAAAAATCAAACCATACTTACAATGCCTAATGCTTAGAGATAACTCCATTTTAAAGATTAAATTAAAACTTGAATATATCCATATTTGGCATCTTTATAAGGAACTTAATTTAAGTTTTGAGTGAGGTCTTCTTGCATGGAAGACTAGAATCAATGCCTTTCAATATTCCTTTCATAGATATCTTCTGTGGATTTACACACACTAGATCCATTTGGTTACCAACTTTGAAGATGTTGCCGGTTAACAAGGAGAGCAATTACTCTTTTGGAAAGAACATTGGTACCAAATAATATCCCTAATTCTTGTCAGTGATGACGGGAACCTAAACTTTCAGAATTGATGTATATTTGAAAGAAAAATAATTCTAAGCCAAATATAAGGGAGAAAAAAGGATGCAAATGCATCAAAGATTTTGGAGAAAAACTTCAAAAGCTTCAGTCAGTAGGATGACAAACAGATCTGAACAGGGGTTGAAAAATATTCATTTCCTATATAAATTGTGAAATAAGTATAGTTGATAGGCACACTCTTCTCTAATTTGTATGATTTTCAAAATGTACTAATATGAATTTCCCCTTAGGGGTCATAAACATAGCTAGACTGTTATAGTTATGCAGCTTGAGCAGGTAAAAAGTAAATTATTTGGGACTTTCATCTTCCTTGAGCAGAATACCAAGGGAAAATTGTTAACCAATATTCCCATTAGAGATGCCAAGAAATGAAATGATGGGAAAATCAAATTGAAAGTAATAAAGTGCTCTGTGTCTCCCTTTTTAAACTTCTTCCTCTGAAGCTATTTTATTTATAGCCAGATAAAGGTATGATTTCAGCTGTTAATATGGAATTTCCAGTTAGCTTAATCTCAAATGATGGATGTGTCTCATGGATATCTAAAGAAGTCATCATCACATCCTTCTCATTTCTCCCTCTTGAAGGAGCCATTTTTTATTTATTCACATGTGTTGCCCTATTCAAGCCATTAGACTTGAGAGGCTGGTAAGAAAAAGGTAAGGTTTTTGAAACACCAGTGCATATAAAGTTTTAAAAATAATGAAAAATAACAAACAACAGAGTGAGTTTGTGATCTTGTAAATGATATATTATTCTGTTGAACTTTCTGACAAGTTAAAATATTCAGAACTTTTGCCTCACAATTTCTCCTATTTTGTAACTCATAGTGGGTTATGCAAAGTTACCAACATTCCAGAATCAAGATATTTAAAAAATGGATTTAGATGATTATCAAACAAGAATTGTAGCTAATTACTTCTAAAACTTTACAAAATGATTATTTTCCCTTCAGAAACAAAACTGAACTCATCGAAGAAATCCTTCTTGATTAACAACATACTAATCGCCTGCACGTAAATGTTACTAATTCAGTTCAACTGATGAAGAGGTCTTGCTGAATTACGGGGCTGTAGGGAAGGAAGACAAATCCTTTACCCTTGACAAATAAAAATGGCAAGTAATAGGATATATTGGAGTATACGAGGAAGCCATTTTGTGTAAACCTAATTCGGCCTGACCTTGTCTTTCCAAAACGGCCTGACTGAGGCCATTGAGCATGCGTTGTATATCTGCTTTAGATATTCCCTATGGCAAGAGCAAAGGCCCTTGAGATAAAGGTGCAACTTCCCTCCCCCTCCCAAAATTGGCATTTCTTTAAAGATTAAGCATTTTTCCTTAGGCTAGAAACTGATTGCTGCGCTCACCTGTGACCACCCAGCTCAAGACAATAGACTTGCCTCCTGCTATGCCCTCTGAGAGAGCAGACCCACTACCTGCTGTGTCCATCAAGCGCTGTGCCGACAGGGCAATCTTGTGACTATTGTGGGAGGGACATTTCAATCATATGTGAAACAGCCTGTTTGGGGGTATATAACCACTCTGTATACTTCACTTCCTTGGTGCCCTTTCTTCCTTCTGGAAGAAAGGCCCCAGGCCATGGTCCTCAGATGTCAGCTCAGAATAAACTCACCCGAATTTTCATTTATAGATTGGTTATGGATTATTTTCGTCGACACCCTCTAGGTCCTTCTGGCTGGGCTACAAATTAAATTCACATGAGACAGAATAACAGGAGAAAATCAAACAATGTTATATATCATTTATATATAGGAGAGACCCAGAAAAACTGAGTAACTCACCAAAATGGCCAAGCTGCCAGCTTAAATATCATCTTCAGCTAAAGACAAAGGAGGGTGTTGTGGGTGGTGTTTTGGGACTTCAAAGGGGAAGAAGGCAATTCACATGGAAATAGAAAAACAAATGTTTGGTAAACAGAACTTTAATAAGAATGGGCTTAACAAGGACCCTCATAGTCTACTCTATGGCAATGACCTGTCTGGGGGACAGGCCCTTTATCTTAAATTCTTTTAGGCAGTTAGGGGAAAGGTCAAAGTTTCTTTCAGAGTCCTTTGTTCTTAAAAATAATCAAGCCAAAGAGACCTATTTTGAGGCAGCCAATTCTGATTCCCCACAGGAAATTACAAAGTAAGTACATTTTATTCATTTTAGCAATAGTATTCAAGCAAACATCCCGGAGGATTTTCAGGAAATGATGCAAGAGAATTATGTATAGGATAACTTTTTGTATACACAGTAGGAAGTTGAATTAAAATTGCTTGATGAGCAGAACAAGAACTGGAGGATCGTATCCATTGGGAGTGAGGGTAGGAGATATTTAGACTGAGGAAATAAAAAGGGTAAGCGATGAGGTGTAGTCCAAGGAGTGCACAGTCCAGGCAAGCAGGCAATTATGAGGAGTCCAGAAGGTATATGTTTCCTTCTTCCACAAAATAAAGTTTGATGTGTTTTCAATGCCAATGTGTTTCTAGACAAAGAATGCTATGGCAGGCTCTGCTTGGGAATTTTAAACTGATTGTTTAAAGTAGCTCTTTAAAAGAGTAAAGCAGTTTTAAAGAAATCTTTTCTGCTTTGATTGAGGAAGAAAACTTGTTCCCAAGTGCAATGGTCCAGCATTATATATGGTAGAAAGAAAACTGAGTAGGAAAAATGAAACATGACTGGATTAGGGCTTTAACAATATTTTGACTCTTTGAGTCTCAGTTTCTTCATCCACAAGATGAGGATATTGAATAAAACTATATCTATATCTTACGTCATTTCCAAATGCACCATTAACATGGTTAACCAATTCTACAACAGAAGATCTAGAGACTGATAAAGGGAGAAAATGACCAAATAAGCATACAATAGCATCACTTCTATTATCCAGAGCACAGTTTTTCAAATGCAGGTAATTATCCATTAGTGCATCCTGAAATCAACTTAAGGTATTCCAAACATCATATATCAGAAAGAAACAGAATAGAACGGAGAGTAGGAGAGTGTATGGCAAGAAGTAAGGACAAATATTATTTCTTGAAGCTTTTATTGCAGTAGCTTACATATTACACATTTATATCTGTTTGTGTTAAGTCATAGTGTAAAATACATTTCTCATTCTCAACAGACACCAACAATATTTCTAAACCACTTATTTACAATGTCATTATTTGGGCTAAAGGAGAAAAGAAGCTTTTACTCACCAATAGTAGGGTCATGATAATCAGGGAACTGATGACTAATAAACTGCATTGTCATTGCTGAAGAAAAAGAAAGAATTTTAATTTAATAAACATTCACCAATTCATTAACAAGTTATCATCCAATGTAAGTTCATCAGTCTTTTAATAGATTCTAGCGAATGACTTATTTCTGTGAGTGACTTATTTAATTACACAATATGAACCACAAATGATGATAATAAGAGAAAGTTCTAGAAGGAAAAACTGTATCTAGAGTGAAAAACAATGCCAGATACTTCTCTGGAATAAATATGTCCAAATTTTAAGTGTGTTTCAATAAAAAATGAGTTGGAGTAAAAATAAGGAGGCTCTCGACACAATGAGAGTGTCAGCTAACTGTAGGATCCTTCTTGAATTGCTCTGGCTAAACAGTTGGTATTGTAAAGATCTTTTCATTAAAGGTCCTGCACATTCTCTGGAACTTAACTTCTTTGTATTTAAAATAAAGAGAGAATCTCTCAGGTCTCTATTGGTAATAAGGCAGATGATTCTGTGAGTTTTTATCCTTAGTCAGCTTTTCGTAGTTAAAATTATTTGTCACTTTTATTTTGCCTAATCCATGTTATTTAGAACCTTTTATTAATTTTCATTACTTTTTTTGATATCTCCTCTAAATTCTCCACATTTTTTTCAAATCTATACTTTTGTAAAACATTTGTATTGTCTCTATTATAGAGTTTCCTCATTTAAATTTCCATTATTAGGAGAAGGGAACTCTGAAGTAAAGGAACAAACTAAGGGGAAAAATTAGTATATAAAAGTCTTTTCCTTTTTTTCGTGTGTGTGTGTGTGTGTGTGTGTGTATGTGTGACAAAGACTCTTTCCTTGACCAAACTTTAGTCAGGCTCTTCTGAGTCCTCTTCTCAACCAAGCCTTGACCTTGGCCCCTGTCTTGGCTTGGCCTGGATAGCTCAGCTATAGCAAGAATCCTGCTATGTCTGTTTAGTGAGATTCTCCTACCCTTGACATCTGATCACTCTCATTATCAGATCAAATTCCTCATCCCCCACACTTGATATCTCACCACCTTGGTCTTGTGCTTCCAGCAAGAATCCAGCTAAATCTGTTTAGCAAGAATCCACCTACTCTTGATGTCTCCTCTTCATAACTTTCTGTCCACCAATGCCCACCCTTTCTCCTTGCCTGTAACTCCTCACCTTTCCTTGATGTACTTGGAATTGAGTGCAGTTCTATAATGAAGTCCTTTTCCCCCTATTGCAATCGTTCCTGAATAAAATTTGTTGTTTCCACTTTACTTCTGGCTCTGCTTCCCTTTCAAAGTGTATACACCCATCAGCAAATGTTCAGAGCATGGAAGGCTGTTAAATTCAACAAACTTGTACAAGGCATTATCCTAACCCTGCTGAGAAATGCAAAGAAATGGAACCTGACCCAGTGAAAGAGAATTTATGTTTACACTTTAACAGTGTTTACCTCCTGTCTTTGCATTGACAAAGGAAGTCTCCAAAGGAAAGTATTATTCAATTTGACAGTTTAGGGTGAATTTTTGAAATGCAAATCAACATTCCTTACAGATAGCCTTAGGAGTTAGAATATTTCAGGTAAACAAGCCAAAGCAACATGTTTACTAAGTGGATATCAAGGAGAATTTGGAAAATGTTTTTCATGAATTTTAAAATAGCAGTCTCCTCTATCTCTTAATCCCTGGCTGGTTGACTCTGAAGTAGAGCACAGAGATCAGAGGCGTGACCTCATGGTGAAAAGTTGGCTTGGCTAATCAATCAACTAAATTTCAAAGATAGCCCAGACTCAATAAATTTAAAACTTAAAATTTGAAACTAAAATTCCCACTCCACCCTACTCAAAGCAAAGAGATATATGTCTGTTCACTAATGTGATTAAGAACCTTGCCATCCATCTTGTGATAGTCAATTATTTAGACTAAAATCTTGAGAATGTCTTTGGACACTTCCCCTTTCATATCCTTTGTCTGGTCACCATGACTACCTTGAATTTTCATTTTCACCTCCAAAATATGTTTCATATATGACTCAATTTTTTCTGATATTACTCTGGTCCAGAGTCTTATCTCTCTCTTAAAAATCTCTATTGCAATAGACTCAAAACTGATTTCTCTGTAGCTATTTTCTTTCCCTCCCATTAGAACTTTCACAATGGTACCAGAATCATCGTTTTAAAAACAATCATATCATTCATTCATATGTTAGCAGCTATTAGGGTAAAGACCATAGTTATTAACACGATATGTTAGCATATGTGTGTTTCTTACGCCCATCATACCTTTTCAGCCTCGGCTTTCATCACTGTCCAAACAGCTATTCTATGTCCTCAGACTTACTGAAGTACTTTCCATCCATGACCATGCCTATATCCTATGGCTTAGAATGGTCTTCACCTTCTCCTTCATTTTGATAACATACTGACAGAGACTGTCCTTAACGAAACTTCAGTCAGGCCCTTCTGAGCACTCCTCTAAACTAGGCCTTGACTTTTATGCTTCCATGTTCATCTCTCAATTGCCACTTTTTAGAAAGAATTCTGCTAAGAAGTCAGTTTAAAGAGAATTCCTCACACTGTATATGTGATCATCCTTGATATTTGATCAAACTCCTCATTCTCCATCATCCTTCATGTGCTATCTGGTACCCTGGCCTGCCTTCAGCAAGAATTCTATTCAGTCTGTTTAACCAGAATTCTCCCTAACGTTTTAGTGATTTTCCATCCACTGACCCTCACCTTGCTCCTTGGCTATAAATTTCCGTTTGTTATTCCTGAACTTGGAATTGAGCTTAGTTGTATATTGAGCTTTCTTTTCCCTTTTGCAATAGTTCCTGAATAAAATCTATTCTCACCTCTTTAATTACTGTTCAGCCCTGTTTTTCTTTAGCAATGTTAATAATGTTCCACATCTCCACTCAAGTGTCATACCATTCAATCAACACATTTAAACTCTTCATTTACCAGATGCCAGTACATGATAGTCATGGAAGCTACCAAGAAGCCTTAGGAAACACTGGGTATAATTACAGACTAAGTTAATTACCATAAACTTACGAAATAATTTTGATGGCTGAAGAAGTTTGGAACAAATTTAAGGAAAAATATATAAGCATTTTAAGAACTGATAGATGTATTTGATATTAGACTTGAGAATCACAGAGGACTATCTGAAATAAATGAATCAGTCAAGGATTTACGTGTTACACTTGTTTATAAGAACTCCTAGCATATATTTAGATGATGGAGTTTGTGCTTTAATGGAAACCTGCTGCTTATTATATTGAACAAGCCCTTCAATTCTCAAATCTTCTGACCTACCACTGAGACGGAACCACAGAAGAGAAAGCCAGCTGAGCTTTGTTCTAGAACTTCAAAAGATAATTTTAGAAAGATTGATCTGTAAAACTTTCTTTTGTGTTTTACAAAGTGGATGCCTGATGGAACATCTAAGAGCCGTTTCCCTTTGCAGAGATGATATGTAAAACAAAGAATGTTTGAAAACTCTCTCCTAAATATCTATCAAATTCAATGTTGGAAATAAGCAATCTGATAAATACCTATCAATTGGACTGAATACTAAATTGTATTCATTTTACCATGTATGGGTTTATATCCTAAAGATTTGAGGATTCTGTTTTTCTTTTCCAAGAGTCATTCTGTGAGAAACTCAATCCAGCTCCTTCTCTCTTTTCAGAGATTACAATTGTATTGAATCTGTAATATCTTAATTCATTGGTTTTTAAGAATGTAATGAAAATGAGGGTCTATTCCTCTTTCCCAAAATACACATTCACATACACATATGTGCACAAAATTGAAAGATAAGTAGGAATCAATAGCTCTCAAGTAAAAACATTTGTCCTAGAAATTACCTACATATGTCAGAAATCAACCTTTTTCTTAAAAAGAGGACATCCGTGAACAGGTTTGAGAGCATCTGAGAACCTCAATGTGAAATCTACCTCTCAGGAATTCCTAAAATTCAGCTGAGATATTTATATCTTACTGCATATATATCTTTAAAAAGAAAGTATTCCCTTGAGGAGTAGTATAGAAAGTTCCTTACTCTTGAATGTGAACCAGTTCAATGGATGAAGTTGAGAAAACTCACCTAGCAAGGGTGGCCAACCTATACTCAGTATATTCAGGAAAGACATAAGAAACCAGGGAAGGATAGTACTAGAAATATTTTTCACAAATATTATCCTAGAACTCACCCTGGCTGTGGATTTGCCATTCTGTAAAAACTAACAAGAATCACCTTGGAAAATTTTGAAGAGGAGCAATCTTACTTGAGGCCAAGATAACTTTTCCACATGCTTTAGAAAATCTGCTATGTTAACAGATTCACACCATTTTTCAAAGTTTACTAGAAGTTGCCATCTTTTGGTAATAGGTGAGTCTTTTTGTATTTATATATTTGAAATACTTAAGAAGTGTTGTGCAAAGTACTGAGCTTTTGGATAATACAAGGATGGACTTACTGTATTCAGAGATTCACTCAGTCATAATCATTGCCAAAGCACATTTAGCAGTTCTTATCTCAGAGACTGGATCACTGAACTCATCAGGAGGCCACAGATATTAGCCAGGAATAAGAATGCTGAGGAAGGAATGACATGACGGGAGGCAAGCACAAGAATTGATTTAATCTCATGAAATATCTTATAGCCCTTGATCAAAGTAAAACTGTGTGTATGAATCAGGTTAATACTGGTATTAGATAACTGAATCTCTATATCAAAGTGAACCACTAGGATAGTTATCATTTGTTTTCTGAAAGACTATTGATTTTAGATGTAATTTTAAAGTCTTCTGCCTTGCTAAATCATTTTATTATTTAGTTGTTTTATCATGATATTTTAGGAGTTTCTATCATATCATCTACAAATAGAATTACTTTTCAATTTTTATTTTATAATTAATTTATTTTGTGTATATTCATTGGTTAACTCATTCAGTAAAATATTAAATAGTAGTGCAGATAGTGATCAACATTGACTTTTCTTGACCTTAGTGGAAATAACTTTTTTTTC